GGTGTTCTATCGAAAGCTCACTGTACAGAGCTCCAGTGTTTCTGAGCACCAGAGGTAGTTAGAGATCTCAATGAGTTGGAGCTTTCGATAGAACACCGGATTCTGCAGCTTCCTCCGCCCACCTCAGCTGCCATAGGCTGGGAGGAAGACTGCAGAGCTGCTACTGGCTGGAAGGACAGCACGGGAGAAGCAGGTCACCTGGGACATGGAGGATACATTGCTTTTTTCTGCATTACACTGCTGGCCTCTGTACTCTGCATCACACCACTGGCCTCTGCACTCTGCATTGTTACTGATCTCTGTTCTCTGTGTCACACCACTGACCTGGCGGAGTTAAGGGCGGGGCAGGGTAGGGGTCAGGTGGGGCGACTGGTGGCGAGTAACTCTTAAGGCCTGGCTAGTAGCTCAGGACTTGAAATTTTGAGCCCTGCTCACATCTATACACTGTCTATAGAGGTGATGATTTATGGGACCTTAGACCGCTGCAGAGGAGGGGGAAAGACACTAGAAGGATCGGTCCAGGGAGAAGCTGGATTGAAGCTTCAGGTGAGTCTAACTTTTTTTTTCTAACCTAGACACAAACGAGCACTTAACCCTTGAAATGCGTGGGTAGACCCACTGCAAGGGTTAATTTATAAAATCCTGGTGATCTCTAATATTTTGCTGCTTACTAGTGCTTTGATGACGTGGCTGCAGTAGCTTTCTTTCTTCAGTCTTTTTCCCCTTTATTTCTACATTGTAAACCTGCCAGTAACACACTTCCTGACAACACTCACTGTACTGTAATGTATCTATGGAGAAGCAGGGCAGGACTACATAACAACCAGTTAATTTCTTTGGTTTATCTTCCCAGAGAATAATATGTGAAATCAGGTTGGTTGCCATATCAAAATGTTGTACTTTAATTCCAGTATTCGATGTTGCATTTTTCACCTGAAAAGCACACCAGCTATTTAAATGAGATGAATTCATCCTATAACCCCTAGGCAGCAACAGGTGACTTTGCCTTGCCTATGTAAAAATGGCAGAGAACATTAGCAGTCCAATTATATTTTCCAACCCACCAGTCTGTGTAATACTGCAATGATCTGCACAGGCAATCCCATATACAGTGACAATGTTGCATATGAAAAAATCAATATAACATCATTTAATGTGACATTGTAAATGTGGGTAACGTACTTGAGGATACATACGCAAGCATCAGGTGCTACTGTTTATCTTTAAAGTGCTTACATTAGGCTCAAAATCCATGCTATCCTACCTTGCGGTGCAAGCTAGAAGGCAGTTAGTGAATGGGGTCTGCAAGCAGGGTGAAGCAAATTATTCACTCAGCACTGCTAAATATTGAGACGTTTGATCAATAATTGGACTGTATATAGGTCAAAACCAATTCTCTTACCTGATCAATATCCTCTCAGACATTGAAGTAGATGGAAAAAACTGGTCATACAGTGATAACATCTGCCTAAGTATACACAGCTGGTTCCATTGCACCCTGCAAAAACCAGCTCAGCACAGAAGCTGAACTGGTTGGGTTTGGTTATGTTTGGGCTTGTTTAATATGGCCACTAATGAGTTGGGAAAGGCTGGATAATAATTATGTGCCCATCGAAACATTGTACACTTTTATTGTGTCACCCCTTTATTTTTATTCATTGGATAATGATGCAAGGTAAGTTTGGTCTGATGTCATAGTACTCAGCCTGTGTAGCCCTTCATTCAGGCCCCTACATGAGACATGTATTGCTAACATAAGTCTGTTCATATAGGTTTCTTTCTTAGTGACTGTTTATTACCTACATGCTTTATAAATATACTTGCAAATTTGGAAGATCAAAACTTTTTCCTGATGCATATTCAAATCTCGGAATTTAAGAATTAAATATCACTAAAATGAATTACCCTCATGTTGCTTTTTTATGTCATCAGTGATATAATTATCATGATAAAATATAATGACTTTTAGTCGTATCTCCTTGGACTGCATGTTAATGAACAATTTCAGACAGATGGCATGTCTGCAAATATGACCATATATACCAGTATAATATACCAGATAAACATTCTAAGTAAATCCATTAGTTTTACTAAATGATTTGCATTAAGAAGCCCTTTGTCACTCAGTCTTTTTCCTTAGCTTTTAATACACCTAATGGGTAATTTAATTACTTAATTGCACACTTTAACAATATACCTGAAACTCAATATTTACAGCTAAGTGATAGGCTATAAAATATTGATTTAGTATACATGTTTTGCTTGTTGATTTAAGTTTTATTGTAAAATATTTTCCCAGTGTATGCTTACTTTTCCCTTTCACCATCATTATCTCTATTCCAGTAGCACTTATGCATTAAGTAATTATTTTAATTTGCTATTAGTTTTTATATCTGAGAAGAGAAAGATGGAAAGGACGACACAGTCATCATATGCTGATTGGACTTTTAAGGCTAGGTTCTGAATTTGTGGATGGTCCATATGTGCCGCGTTCTACCTGTGCAGGATCACTATGGGTGTTACTGGCAAGCTTAGCTACGAGGTTTATGTTACATTATGCTCTTAGAATAATAGTGCCCAGTAAGGTATATCTTACTACTTAAAGTGTTTTTCCACTTTTGTTGGCCAAATTGGGATAATCTATTTTAGATTTGTTACATGTTCCCGTAGCATAAGCTAACAAAAATGCTAGTTGCAGTTTACATTTCTTTAATTGGGTAAGGGATTCTTGGAGGAGCAAGTGGAAATTGTAACCTTTAAGAAGCCATCTTTGCAATGTTAGGAGGGGTTGTAAGGGGTGAGGGGTTAAAGGACTACAACCCAGGCTTTTCCATTCAAATGATAATGAAGTTAATGAGAGAAACAGAATCCTCAAATTTCAGTCCTAAGTCTTTCTATAAGGACAGATCACTGTGAAGGTGCTCATGAAAACCTGGAATTAGCCATATTGCCTGCTACAACAAAACATCTAAAAGGCAAGAAATAATTTCAAAAACATGTTTTTTGTATGCTTTGTGAATAGGAACACAAAACAAACATATGGTGGGGTTGTCTCAAAATTGAGTGCAAAAGTGGAAATACAATTTAAGGTTGTGGCATGCATTGACCATTTAGCCAACAAACTGAGCCATTACAATGGGCAATAAGAGCATGACAACCCAACCCAAACAATAATTAAAACTACGCCATGAGAATTTGGATTTTGGTAGCCATAGCAACTTTTTTTATGAATGTCAATATAGCTAAGGACATTTCCATAATAATCATCACAAACACAAAAACCTGAACCCAACTTGAACCATAAGAAAGGGGCCCTATACCTGAGATGGCTGCCCTGTCTCTATTAAACCTTATTAAATAGTAGCCTTCAAGGACCCTAAGACCCCAGAAAAAAATGGATTTGTGAGCCATAAACAATATTACCTATACAATGGATGGCCTAGTTATAAAAGAAAAGAAACCCTAACTGGGAGCAATAGGATGTTGGTCCAATGCTTTACTTCTCCTCTGGACACCTGTACTCTGATTGACCTCCACCCCAGGACCCTCCCTTTCTATTCCTTCCCTGTAGACTAATATCCCAAATAAGTTTTTTCCTAAAATTATTTTCCTCTGTGGCCCTAGTGTGCTCCCCCCTACCCCCCCCAACCTTGCCATGCAGGTCTTATGCTTAAGCATTCTTTTTTCAGCCCCAGGTCTATCTTCTATTATGTTTTTAAAGGCAGAACTAATTTACGCAGTACAGTGTCTTTTGGCCTGTCTTCTTATCTGTACATAACTTTGCATTAAAGATTTTAGTAATTTTATGGTAAAGTTATCTAAAATATGAGTGTCAGATTTTGGAAAGGAAAGACACCGACACTCCAGATTTGCAAAAAAAGTCTATTTATTGACGTGCATCATAGTAGCAAACAATGAACGTTTCGGGTCGCGAAGGATCCCCTTTATCAGGCAAAGTATGCCCTCGCGACCCCGAAACGTTGTTTGCTACTATAATGCGCATCAATAAATAGACTTTTTTTGCAAATCTGGAGTGCCGGTGTCTCTGCTTCTGTTCATGATTGTTACGGCTGCCACCCGTTGACTACCGCAGCACCCATTTTCTGAAGGGATTTTCGCGGTCAGGAGTGCGATGGGACCATGGACTTTCTAGATTCTGGAAAGGAGCACTTTTTCAGTGCTTGCCATAGGTGCTATTTTATGTAGATATGCCTCTGGATTGCAGTTCAATAAGTTACAAGGATACTGGATTTCTTTTAGGATCAATAGTACTTGCAGAAAATCTACTGATAAGCACTGGTGAGCTGCAATATATTTAATTTTTGATCTTGGATTTAGATATACTACTTTAAATTGAGAGCTTAGGCTAAGTTTGAATGGAAGTGGAAGTATTTGGGTCAGTCTATGGGTTAGTTCAAGTTTAGGAATCTGGAAATGTGTAGTATACTTTAAAATGTGCATGATTTCTGTTCTAAATGCCTCACGGCATAAACTCACTTATGTATTTGCTGTTTGACTAATTTCGAATATTTGTACATACTGTATATTTGCTACATCAGAAACTACCCAAACTGCATTTTTCTGCAGTATTGCTCCATCTATGCTTCAGCTGTGTATCCTTCTATGTCTTCAATGTCATGTGGTTTCATTGTTTTTGGGCCTTGGTGACATTTCTGTCTTACAAACTGTACTAAATTAGTAACAATAATATTATACAAATGTTTAAAAAGTATCAATTTCTTAGATTTCTATTAACTTTAGTTTTGTATTTTGGTAAACAGTATAACACATATATGATATGTATATATTATGTTTAAACTAACAAAGACATGTATTTGCATACGCAGGGTGGATTTACCAGGAAGTATTCCCTTAGCTCAAAGACTGGAACTCTGCTACCAGAATTTCCTAGTGCACAGCATCTTGTATTACAAGGATGTTTGTCTAAAGAAAAGGTAGGATTAACTAATTGTCAAGCACATTAGTTATAACAGGAAACACAGCTGCATACTAGAAAGTCCTTGCTTGTGAGAGTTTATTGAGACTGCTGACACATTTTACCCCATAAAAGGCCAATGGGGCCCATTCAATAAAGAGTTCTAATAATTAAATTTAATAACACATGTCCGAAATCACTTTGGTGAATTCAGATCAATAGAAGATGCATTCTGTTTGTTATGGGTTATTTGAGTTAAAGCATGTAGTTACAACACTCTGTCCTGCAGCGCAAAGGATTACATTTCTGCCAAGAAACCGAGCTAAATGAATTGAATACTTGTGTTGTGCAATTTACATAACACGAATCTATAGCTTATGTGTCTGATACTGTATTGTTGGAATATTCTGTCTGAAATAACCTTGTAGAATGTATAATACGTGTGTCTCTTTACCGCTGACCAAGGCTTGTTTTGGGAAAGATGGTAGGGTCTATTATGCAAGTAATTCATTATACTAATTGCAATAGTGTTTTGACTATTTTATTTTAACAAATGTGAAACTAATGAGGGTTTTGTGAACAATCTGATTGGTTAACTCAGGGAATTGCCAGGTACAACTGTTTAAGCTCGCTTTAGCAATATTAAGCGCTGACGTCTGTGTTTCTAAAGAAAGTATTGCAAAGTATCAGCCTTCTCCATGCCTAAATCACTCCTAGCAGAATTATGGGCACTCTCTGGGAAAAATCAAGTCATATCATTTTACTGTATATGCATCTGAATAAAGATGAATATTTATTTCAAAGTATGCAGCGCCTGAATGCTTTGTGTGTTTCATTCAAGGGTAAGTTCACTTTCCCAAGTGCTATACTTACCTTTTGGCGAACTGTTTTTCCCCTCCGCTGGTACAGGCGTACTATCTATACCCTCTACTGCTGTATTTTTAATTTTGTTCACATCTGGAGACATGTATGAGACACCCCTATTTGCTCCCTGCTCCACTCTCCTCCCTTCTTCAAGCTAGTAGATGGACTGCTGCAGGAGACTGTGCTGTTCCTTGTGATGTTGTACTAAACAGGAAGTTCAGGGAAGCCAAGCTGTGAGAGTTGGAGCTGTTTGGAAACATGATGACTGTGAAGAAATACTTTGCTGGGCAATGTTTATTTGCATGATCTGAATTTATTATTTTAAAACGTTTGCTTATGGAAGTGATATGTTAATTGAAACTTTTGACTTCCAAAGCTCATTCTTAAGCATGAGTTGCATGAATTGCCCAGGACAGGGAATAAAAATCAGATGATCAAAAAAAAAATGCAACAAGCGCTGCTTGAACATGATATGGTGGTTAGGAACACACAACAACAATGTGGGCAAAAACAGATCACTTTTAAGGTAGACAGTACCTTTTAATATTGATTCTGAGCTTATTTCAAAAAAGCAATACACACCCAAAAGCTGGGATGCAAAACACTGTGAATTATAGCATCAAAACAGATTTTATTTAACTAACACCAATAACTTAAACAGGTAGTCTGATTCGATGCTTTGGGATACCACATTTTGCAATTCAGCTTTGCTCTGTGTGCAACTTTACAAAAAAAACGTATTGTTGACAAGCATGGATTGAGAGGAAAACCATATAGATACAGGTAATCAAGACTGTTTGATGAGCTTGTGGCAGCAAAGTCCTTATAATTAAGTGCCAAATTAATTTATCATGAGAACTCATACTTCCTGGAAATACTGAATCAGGTAAGGAGAAAGTGTTTGTATATTTAAATTTCCACTTATCTCACTAAGTGATTGCAGTGAAAACTGTTTTTTACTAGCAATTCTGTAAATTGAGACAAAATATTTTTACTTTTTTGCAGTATACATAGCGTTTTGGTATATTTTATGTGTATTATTAGGTATACTTGTCCTGCTTTTCTCATGTATAATATAACCTTAATGCCGTGAGCTCTATAGACGTGTCTGGTTTGTCCAAGCTTTACAGGGTTAAAACAAGCTCATGGCTGCTGTAGCTGTTGCTGAATGAGATTTAGTGATGTCATTACTGTGATGCTCATTGTTCCCCTTGCTGGAGGCATGGGGAAGACAAGGGTAAAGAAAGTCATTTCTCTACCAAGATAGCCACCTCCACACACAGATATGGTCCAATACAAGGCATGACTAGTCAGTTCAGAGGAAAGATCAGCTGAAGACAGTTCACAGGCAACAGACTGCTCCTTTTCCCTCTGCCTAACCTGTTTTTTTAGAACAGATTCCACAGTTCCTCTTTAAAAACTCCAGACAGTTTTAGTTTTTAGTTTTAGATAACGTGGATAAGAAATAATATTTCTGTCATGTTTTAATTTCTGTCTGTGACTCCATTGGGAGATTTTTCCTTAATAATGTTACTATACACGTTACAATCTGACTGTACAACATTTGCACAATAATTTAGATTTACCAAAATTATGTAATATGAAGTCCTACCTAAATTATCCAATCATTCTCTTTCCAATTTGGCAGGCACCTGTACAACACAGTTGTTGGTAAATCATTGTACAGAACAATTGTAATGTGTGTGGTGAGTTTTAAAGACACAAAGACAGCAAAACATAGTTCTAATCCTTTATCACTTTACAAATAAAAATGTTTTTTTTGTCTGTATTGCCACTGTCCTGAGGAACAGGAATGTCTCCCCAATCCAAATAGATTGAGATTTTATACATTTTAATTAAAGAAAAACTTGGGGGAAAATGTTATTAACTCTTGCAGTTGGGCTAATCCCGCACTGCAAGGGGTAACTACTCTTTTTTGTCTAGGTGCATTTCCCCTCCTCTGCTGCACAGATGTTCCTCAGTGTCCTCAGGTCTATACACCGTAGACAACATGATGACACATGGATTCTTAGACCACTGCAGTGGAGAAGGAGAGATGCTCTAGGGACCAGTCTAAGAACAAGCCATTGAATGATCAGGTGAGTATAACTTTGTTTTGTTTGTTTTTTCGCACCTAGACACAAACGAGCACTTAACCGTTGCAGTGTGCGGGGGTAGCCCCACTGCAAGGGTTAAAAAAAATTTCCCTGGAGGTCTACCTTAACGCTGGCCGTAGAAAGGCAACACTCTCATTGGGAATAAGCAGCTGACCGTGTTTGAACAGGCAGGGATCTCAGCTATCGAGCAGAAACAGCAGATTCTTTTATTTTCATGCAGAAAAAAAAGGTAAAACTGGCCTTGTAGAACAGAGATTTATCACCCTGTTTGGAACCCTAGTCATGAATTATCTGCAGTGAGATCTCAGATCTGGTAAATCGCAGCTCAGTAATATCATCTTACCTGGTAAGGTAACTATGGTTGTGTGAAGGTAAATTAAGTTTTTGGGATTATGTTAAATGTAAGATTCAAGAATTTGTGGGTTAGTGATACGGTTTCAAGGTTGAGTGCTAGATTTAGTTTTATAGTTCAGGTTAGGTGAATCATAGATTTTCAAGATTAGCGCTAAGGTTATGGTGAGGGCTCGGGTTATAGTACATATAAAGAAAATAGATTCTTTATATACTGAAAATAGTTAGTCCTGAAGTAGATGTTTGGCCTGTAGTAAGGGAAATCCCCTCTTAGAAGGTTATCACAGACATAAGCTGGAAGATTTCCCTTCTATTCCCGGTCTGATGACAACTCAAAATCTTGCTTTTTCCTTAACTTTCTATCCCAGTAATAATGCAATAATATTGAACTCCTTATGGAGGACACAGCTAGCAATATAACATGATACTCACTCTATCCAAAACTAAAACAAAAGTTAGCTTAGTATATAAAGGTTCATAAAGTATATATCACTTTATATAAAGGCTTTTTTTAAAGGTTGGAGTAAGGGTTAGGGGTCTTTTGTTCAGTGTTAAGGGTCAGAGTTTAGTGTAAGGCTCAGATAAAGCATTACTTGATCATTTCACGGACCATAGAAATCATGATCCCCTATAGATATATTATAACTGCATTGTGGTGTTGGCCATGTTCTAAAACTGAAAAGATTATGCTCAAAATAAACACAGTGTGAAACTATACCTAAAAGCTATCTGAAAAAATATGCAGAAAAATGATCAACCTCTTGCTGATACAAATAATTAATAACAATTAAGTAAATTAAGCTTGATAAGCTATATAAATCAGATGTGAAATCTATGATCATAATAAATAATGATTTTTGAACATCTTATCTAATTTATTTAGGTTTTAATTCACTACAATCTTTCTTACATATCATGTACAAGTATATGTTTCTCCTACTCATTGACCATTTATTTAATTTTCTTTTTTAGGTAGACACACTCATCATGATGTACAAAACACACTGTCAATGCATTCTTGACAATGCCATCAATGGAAATTTTGAGGAGGTAATTTTTTTTTTTTACATCTATTGAGGTGGATATCATGCTGACATATACATCAACAATTACAAAAAAAATAAAAAAAAATCTTTGTGTTTTTAGATCCAGCACTTTTTATTGCATTTTTGGCAAGGGATGCCAGATCACCTGCTGCCTTTGCTTGAAAACCCCGTTATCATAGATATATTTTGTGTTTGTGATTCTATTCTTTACAAGGTAGGTTGGTCCTCTTCCCACTTTGTATGAATTATAAAATCCTATTTTTGAAGTTATGTGCTTCAGTTACAAGCTTTTATTTATTTTAGGTTCTCACAGATGTCCTCATACCAGCAACAATGCAGGAAATGCCTGAAAGGTAAAACTATATTAGAATGCATTTTTACACAAAAATGCTTTGTCTACTGTAAATTCATCCACTGTTATGCATTATACTAGGAAGATATCTAACACCAAGAAATGCAAAAGCTTTACTATATTTTCTATATGAGAGGTATCGTTGGAAAAACAAACATATTGATTTAACATAAATGCATTTTTCTCTGGATTGGCAGATGCTAAATCTAAAGCTACCACCTTCAAAGAGACCCTGTCACCAGACCATTCATTTCAAAAACAGTCTCGCAATGAAATTGCAAGACTCTAACAAGAAATGGAAGAAAGAGAAAGGTGCGGGAATGGGGTGATAGGAAAGGTGAGGGAAAATGGAAAAAGGCAAAGTAGAAGTGCGTATGAAAGAACAGGGCTTTAAAGAGGGCTCTGGATAGCTACCTCCCCCCACCCAGCCCAGCATCAGGCTTACTAGTCAGAAACAGTCACCTCCAAAAGGAAGCGGGCCAGAAAAAGATATAACAAATCTACGTAAGTGTCCCCAGCCCCTGTACTTCACCTAGTGAGAACCCTCACTTCTATTGTGATTCTAGGAGCATACTGTATTCAGGAGAAGTAATACATTTGGTCCAATAAAACCAGGTATAGTTGAATTGTGCCTCTCTATGATTGCCAGACACCAAGAGCTCCTTCATCCGATAAATGTCATTAACCTTTGACAACCAGAGACCAATTGGGGTGGTAAGGTATTTTTCCTTTTCAAAGGTAAGTAAGACTTTTGAGCAGGTGTACAAGTAATGAGTTCTTATAACGTTTCATGGACATCGAAGCCAACTGTAAAAGAAAATCAGCCAGATTATCCCCTAGACTGGCACTCATTAATTGATGACAGATAGAAGTAACTTTGTCCCAATAATCCCATATCACTGTCAGGACCAAAAAATATGTAGTAAGGAACCCTCCTGCTGTTTTCATTGCCAACAGAGAGTTGAGCACTGTGGATAGATCTTGGGCAACCTGTACCACCTGAAAAGGATTCTTAACCCTGTTTCCTGGATCTTGCTAGAGATGGACGCTCTTTGTCATCTGTAGTATCCTCTCTTTTTAAACCTCTGTGAAGGAGACCCCCAACTCTCTTTCCCATTTGACAAGATAATTCAGGGAAAATGTATCTGGTGGATCATTCAACAAACAGTAGGACACAGAAACACCATGCCGAATGGGGTCCGGATCTAAACACAGCTTTTAAAAATTATTTAATGATGCTAGATCCACTGATCTCCCTATAAAATGGCAGGTCTGAGCAGACTTGAATGTCCCAGATGGTAAAGAAGCCCGTTCAAGACTGAAAATGATGCACCCAGTACGTGCCAGAAGAAACCAACTTACGTCCCCTTCCCATGGCGATAAGGGTAATGAAGGATGACCTATAACCATAGTAATTGAAGACGGATATGTATCTATCAATAGATGTTGTTGATCGTTCTGAAACACCACTAACGTGGTACCAATAAGTATGACTGCTCTAACTGTAGCCATTGCCTCTCAGCACATACCTTGCACCAATCCAGAATCCTGGACATATGTACTGCTATGTAATACCTAATGGGGCCTTGGAACAATATGCACCCTTATGTTTTGGTCATGACATAAGAATATGACTCAGTCGGTGATATTTCTGAGCCCAAAGGAATTCACCAAATTCCCCTCATAGCTACTTCAGGACGTAAATCGGAATACGTATCGATAAAGTTTGCAGTAAATAGAGAAGTCTTGGGAGTATATGCATTTTGAGAATACAGTTGCGCCCAAACTAGGTGAAGGCATCAGAGGACCAGCTCTGCAAATCTTGTCAACCTTAGTGAAGAACGGAGGAAAATTGGCTTGAAAGACACCTTCTAGTGAAGTCAACAGGTAAACCCCCAGGTACCTAATGCGGTGTTGAGCCCATTTAAAGGGGGAATGAGGAATGATGGCCTCCAAAGTGGTTTTTGGATTATTCAACTTTAAAGCCTAAGACTTTTGTAGGTTAATGGAGAATTAATAAAAAGCCCGGAAACGAAAGGCCACATTCAAGTCTCCCCCCAATAAGTGGGTGCCCTCTAAGAAGGACAATAGTTAATAGAAATAGGACTGACCTAGCTCCTTTACCTCCTTACATAACCATTTATGTAGCTGCTGTGGGAACAGTGAAGGAGAATGCTACAGAGTGTCATTTGAGTGACATTTTTTTCCATATTTACAAAATTTGTTTCAACTTTTTTTACATTTAAAATATGTTTTTTCTTGTAAGGCCTTCCCTGCTCTGATTAAACAAAAACAGCATGGACACCAATGCAAACTGGGTACTACATTAGGCAAGAAGAAAGTCACTTCAACACCACTTTGTCCCTATGCCAAACTGGAAAGTATCTTTACAAGATAAGGCCGCCAGCACAGACTCCTGTTATAAAGATCTTAATAAATGGTCTTATAACAAGATAGTAAGAGCAGATCTGACCTTTGAAAGTGCTGAGAGCCAAATGCTGGTCCAGATTCAGCCATTTGCCCAACCACCATCACTATTTTTTGTTTTTTTAATTATTGGCCTTTTTTGTAGTTTGCATAGTTTTTATTTTTTCCTCATAAGACTGTTCCTGCTCTGGTCAAGCAAACATGGACTACCGGGTGTCTAGGAAGTACCCCTGGCTGGAAGTGGCCCAATATGCCCTTGAGGAACTATCTGGCCTGCTGCACATATCCTGTAAAAAAACACAATAGACTGCTACCGCTGTAGTGCATGTGAAGAGACTTGATCTGAAAAAAACAACTGCAGATTGCAACAATTAGGAAATACTGTATGCCCTGTGAAAAAATACATGCAGCCTGCTCATGCTGTAGTGTATGTGGTCAGAAATAAACTGTAAAGAGGCTGCAGGACAGCAGCAGTATTCAGATGTAAAGACAAATCTGTCCCCCACCCCAGATTCATCAAGATACCTAGGTACCTAGGCACAGTCACATGTTAGAAGGTGCACTGCTATTTTTCAGGAAAAAAAAACTTTTTCAGGGCACTGCTTAGTCACAATAAGTATTTCTAGACTGTCCCTATAAGACATAAAATCTTCACTTTTTGAGTTCAGGTACACTTTAAAGGCCATTTCATTTGTGCTTGTTGGTCTAAATAGACTCTTAACAGAATGTTATTTTATAGTTGATTCACATTTGTTTCTACTGACATATTGGTGTATGAATCTACAAACCAAATTTTTTTTTGTAGTTTACTAGCTGACATAAGAAACTTTGCTAAACACTGGGAGCAATGGGTTACTACGTCATTGGAAAACCTTCCAGAATCACTCTCAGAAAAGAAACTGCCAATTGTTAGAAGATTTGTGTCATCTTTGAAGAGACAGACTTCATTCTTGCACTTAGCACAAGTAAGTTTTGAAAGCCACATTGTATCTCCAGGTACAGTCTGCCTCCTAGTGCATTGAAAGACCTCAGATCAGTGCTGTAGCTAATAACCATTAGGGGACTGGTACTCTATAAATGCTCTATAAGTGTTCCTATTGGAAATGTTTCCCCCACTTCATGCTCAGGTGATCACCCAGGATGTGGTTATTCTTCCCAATCGGGTAAACACAGACTGTAATAAAAAGCCAACAGATGTTGGAAAAAATTCCCCACTTCATCCAAAGGTACACAACATATTTTTGATTAATTATCTTTTATTTGACCACCCTATGATTTCAGAAGATTTTATTTCCTTTAGTTGAACTTGGTGGACCGCAATGTGATGATGTTACACTTATCTTGGATATTCATTTCTTGAACAATTTTGCAGACTTGTGTGGATAAATGCCTCATACATTTGACAAGCATTTTTGAATTTAGGTAACAGCTCCTATCTACACTTCCTTTGTTACTACACAGTGGATTCAGATTGACTCAAAATTGCCCCATGCTTTTAAATTCAGTTAGAAAATATTGGGTGCAGAATGATAGTTTCAGAAACAATAGAAAAACCATTGGGTCAGACTGAGGAAGACTGCCAATTTCACTCACCATAAACTAAATCAAGAAGGTATTTGGCAATAGTGGAGGAACAAAGCCTGGTGACGAAATCTGATAAAGAGAAAGGTATTAGCAATATGCTGCTTCAACCTACTATCATTAAAATTATACGTTTTTTGGGTTTACCTACCCTTCAATATTGGTAATCCTATTTTAATTTAAAATACTAAAGTTGCTCTTACATGCTCTCACATATAACATCATGTGATCTATATCAATCTTTAGTCTTACACATGCACAGAACCACTTTAATCATTATAAAAAAGGGCAGTTTCTCTAGGCCCATTAAGTTACCCCTCAACAGTCCTTGAGTCCAGCTGCCCATCACTGTAATCACAGCAGAGGGACTGTTTGTTCCTTGTAGCAACATAGATGGTGTTTGAGAGGAAGATCCCGGAGCACCATTACTGTAATCAACAAAGTAGGACCCTTCCTCTCAAACTTTGAGAGGAAGCGCCCTGCTGCAGCAATTACAGTGTCAGAAAAGGCATGCTTGCACTAAACCTACCCATTTCACAAAACCACAAAGCACATGTATGGTCAAATCTAAAGGTACTTTTCTGATTTATTGGAATAAATTGAACATTATGATGAAGCTCAGGTTTTACACTGTTAGAAGACTTCCTGTGAAAAAATGATTTTTTATTGCAGTTTGTTTTAGTTTGCATTGACACATGCTAATGAAATAATAATTACCATATTACCTGTATTTTAATTAACCAGATTGCTCGGCCAGCTTTGTTTGATCAGAATGTGGTAAACTCCATGACTGCAGATATTGACAAGGTAGACCTGTACAGCATTGGATCTCAGGCTCTTCTTAGCAGTTGTAGTGGTTCTGATTCTGACAGCGATGTCTACACAGAGCGTGAGTCTACAACCATAATTTGTTTTGGTTTTTTTGCAGCAAACTAAGACTTGTATTTGAATAAATTAATTTAATTTTGTTCTTCATTACTTTTGTATAGTTATGTATTACAGTCATTTAATTACATCAAATACATTTCACAAGATTAATTAATTGCTACCATAGAATTGATTGGATCAGAAGGTTAATCTAGATTTGTTGGGATCTTTTTATCTGTTATTAGCTAATTTGTGAGAAATTAATTTTAAAGACTATTTTGCTGACTCAGTGGCTACATGAGTATCTAACCTAGAACAAACATGCAACAAGTAAAGCCAGCAAAGCCAGAACTCTTTATCATTGTACTTGTCCTTGGTCAGTGACTCAGAAATGATTGAAACCATTAGATCAGCATGACTGTCAGCCAGCCAGCCAACTTTTTACATAATAAAGGTCATAGATGGCAGCTTTTGTGTTTTTCTCAGAAGAGGTTTACTTTAAATTGTGGGTTCACTTTGCTCTGTGAACACATCCTCCTCTCCCCCACGGCCTCCTTATCAGTTGTAAATATGGAAATCCTTGTCCAGCGTGCTCAGGGCCAAACAGCACTAACAGACTGTGACTTATGAGTATGGGGAGTACTATCTGCTACTCGGGAAAGCCATTGAACAGTCCTGTAGTGCAAACAAGGTTCCCAACTGGATGGAATGGTTATACAACCAATGGACAGAACAGACAAAAGGCAGGTAGCCATTAGGAATTCAGAACAGGGGATAGATTTTAATTAAAAATTCAATAGGATTCACAGATTATACCCTGAAGATCATGATAGTTGCCGCTAACATCTTTGCTTTGATGTTATTCCATTACGCTAACCCGAATTTTGGTGCCTGGTAGTATTGGAGGCATGCTTAGTATAACTGTATAAAACATCATGCTGTAAGCACTGAGGCTCTTGGTGCATGACTAGGTGACTACACAGCAGAATAGGGGTTTAGGGTTATGGGGTTGGTTAATTGTTGGGCCCAACTTAGGTGTTAATTGTTGGGACATGTGTTTGCTGTGATCCCGTGTCTCTTTATTGATGTTTCTGACAATGATACCAAGTGTATATTAATTTCAGAACATACACAGCAACGTCACAATGTGTTTAAATATATTGCAGTCTTTCAAGAACTAAAAGACCTTTTGAAGAAAAATGCAACCATTGAATCGTTCATTGAGTGGTTGGATAATGTTGTAGAGCAAAGAGTTATTAAGGTAATTATCTTAATTTAAAGATGAACTCCAGAATAACCACTGTCTAAATACAGTCATGTGTAGTCTTACTTGAATCTCAGGGTGCTTTGTTTATTTATTTCAGATCTGTGCAGTAATCCATTGTAAACCTTCACCTTTTGCAGGAACTTCATGTAATAAAAGCCAATCACTGCTGCTCTTTTAAAGTAGATCTAAAGCCACAGTGTTGTTAGTTTTTTTTGGCAAAGTAGGGAATTTTGTTTGCCATCAGTTTCTCATTGGGAGGATTTCCCTTTTCTTTCCTGTCATATAGACACAACAAGAAGTAAGGGAAAACACACTAAAATAAAGTAAGAAAAATTTGCACTTAGACGCTTGTCAAAGAAACCAGTGTCCTTAATGGACAATTTCCATTGTATTTGTGTTCTGGTGACAACTCAACTATTCACCAGGCTACCAAAAAAAATAAAAAAGGTTTTGGCATTTGATAAACTTGAAGGCTTCCTTTTTTAAATGTAAATGTAATACTTTTAATTACTCCAAAATTCAATATGTTGTATTATCTAAAACATCAATTTTTGTGATATAAATTAGATCAGGTAAAATATTAAACTTACTAATTTCAGTTTTTATATTTTGTAAATCTGTTACTTTACACATTTTATCGCCATTATGCATTCAATGTACCCTCATAAATAAGGCCCTAGGTCATGTTTGCTCATTTCCTGTAATGAGGAAGCTGTGTGGTCTTTACTTTTTTTTTCTTTGAAAAGAGAACATTTTGAGGGAGCAGTGTAGGTCTGAGTAGCTTTTTACCAACACCAGCCTTGCTCATTACCAAACTTTAAACTGAAGGACTTACTTATGACTTATTTTTATTGATGGATCAAATATAGCGATTTATAAACACTATAGACACTATAATTACATGCATTTATGCCATACAGTTAACAGAGTGGAATGTTTTGTTTAGTTGTGGTCATATACCTCAGGATGAGTAGAGCTTGAAAGAGGGTATAGATTTCAGAGAGAGAGAGAGAGAGAGAGAGAGAGAGAGAGAGTTATTCACTAAGCTGCCTGAAGGATAAGGCAGAATGTTCGGCTAATCCTTCGGTTTTGAGGAAGCCTTCAGATCAGTCGAATCACAATAGCTATGTTTACAATAGCCCATACAGCAGCTGGAGGCAGCCAAAGCACCCAGCCGAAGCAGGGAGACCGCTCTGCCAAAGCGGGCCATTCTCCCCGCAAGTTGTAAAAAAATAGAAAAAGATTCACCTCAGCTGATCCAGATGTTGCATCAGCTGAGGTGAATGGTGCCAAGGCTGTTTGGCTGAATTGCAATAAAGTGAAGTGAGCTGAAGGGAGCCAATGTACGGCTAAAAATAGCCGCACAGAACTTCTGTGAATGGCCGAACAGGCTTCGGTTTACTTCACTTCGGTTTGGTTATTCATTCGGCTGCCTTCTGCAGCTTAGTGAATAACCCCCATAATCTTGCCCTAATACAAAGCATTAGTAAGACCTCATATGAAATATGCAGTTACGTTTTGGGCACCAGTTCACAAAAAAGGTGTTGGAAAAATGGAGAGAGTGCAGAGAAGGGCAACTGAACTGATAAGAGGCATGGACGAGCTCAGCTACGAGGAAAGATTAACTGTACTGAATTGTTCTCCCTTGGAAGAGGCGATTGTTAGAGATTGTTAATCCAGGAAATATCCAATTGCCTTAGACAATCAGGAAGGATTTTTTATTTCCTTGTTAGAACAAATTTGACAATGCTTTATAAAGGGGGTTTTGACTTCATCTCAATCAACAGTGGGTATAGGGTTCTGTATATTGAGATTTCAAATGATTTATGTATTCACTTTTTCTATCGGTGGAACTCAGTGTATTTTTGAAACGTGTATAACTACGTAACTATGTATTTATACTATATAAGTTTACGTTACATTTTTTATTACTTTCATTATTATTTTTTTTAACCAGACGAGCAAACAAAGTGGCAAGTCACTGAAGAAGAGAGCTCAGGATTTCCTGTTAAAGTGGAGTTTTTTTGGTGCCCGAGTTATGCACAATCTAACATTGAACAACGCATCTAGCTTTGGTAAGAATCGCAATACATTTTTGTAATCTAGAATTTTAAAGTTGAACTTCAGCCAAATATCTGAATACACAATATTAATACATGTATGACAGCAGTTTTACAGTTCTGTAATGTATACAACCATGGCAGACAGCAGAGTTAGGTTGGTGACCTTACTGTTCTTTACTGCATTAAACCGACTCTGTCCCACTTTTGAGAAATAAAAAGAAGCCCAGTGTGCAAAGAAAAACGTTAATACTTACCTGTCCCGCCAGTCATGCTGTCACACTTTGCTAAATAAAATCTTCCAGGTGTGTCAGGCCTGGTTTTCCCCGGCGGCCACAGTGGGTTCTTCCCCCTTCCTTCACATCACTTCTGTGTCCTGCAGTGTCAGAAAACATTTCAGTGAGATTATCTCTTCAACACAGTGGTGTTTGACAGCACAGGTCATAGTAAAGCTCAGTGTTAATGCTTTCTGCAGACAGGGCTTCTCTCTCT